TCATATTGGTAAGTAGGATTCAGTTAATTAAGTACTTTCTTTTAAAATCTAGTTGATGAATAATTAAATACACAAACTGAAGTTCATAAGGTTAGAAAGATCCTCATCTTTCTCTGTTCTATTTCAAGTGTCTGTGTACATACCCAACTTAGCAGTGACAATACAAACAAGGGAATCCTCGATTTCTTATGTTTAATCACTTCCAGGATAAGTAATAATTGTTGAATAAAGATTTTATTAATGGAGAACTGGAGTTTTTCAGCCCATCTTTTAAAACATATTATTTTCCCAATTTTATAAATGAGTAGGCAGAATTATTTTCCCAATTTTATAAATGAGTAGGCAGAATTATTTTCCCAATTTTATAGATGAGTAGGCAGAGGTAGTATAGAAGAGTAAGCAGAGGTAATATGCAAATCATTTATCTGAAGTTGACAGCTGCAAAGTAATCCATTTTTCCTCCATAACATATGGAGTGATGGGGGAAGTCCTTCTGTGTATATGTTTGTTCTATTGGTTGATAAATAAGTCACTGTTGGCCAATAATGAAGCAAGTTAAGTGGGACTAGGAGTCAAGGAGGATTCTGAGAAATGTAGTCAAGAGCAGAGAGTTGTCATGTGATCCCAGCAGGAGATAATGCACCAGCCTGAGATTCATGGTTAATTAAGACCTTATAGAACTATATATACGTAGTCATGGGAAAATATTTAAGACAGAACTAGCCAATGAGAAGCCAGTCTGGTGGAAAGAGGGTTTGTGACAATGGAGACGTGTGAATTTTCACTTTTGAAATTCCTATAAAATACTACTAAGTATAAGTAGAAACCATTACCGACTCTAGCCCCCTTTATCCCATTGATCACCATTTGAATTCAGTATATTGAATTTTGTACTCAATTGCTCAATTGCAGTCTAAAACTATACACTGGCTTTTCACTGGTGATCCTACTTTTAAGTGCCAAGAGTATTGTCAGAAAAAAAGGTATAGGCTCTCAGCTACAAAGCTGCCTCTGTGAAGATTGTCGCTTTTCAAACCCGTCTCCTCATCAAAATGGTTGGCTTGCAATTCCAGTTTTGATTTGCTCCATCATATAACATAAAATGTGAAATTGTGATCCATCCATCATCATTCTAGTTACTATTTCAATCATGCTTGCAAGCAACCACTTATTTCCAAAAGGTAAAACTACTTTTAGAAGGCAACCATTAATAGGGCACCTCAGTTTACTCTGGAAATATTACCAAGAATAAAAAAAAATATCGCCGGGCAGGGGTGGCGCACACCTTTAATCCCAGCACTGGGGAGGCAGAGGCAGGCAGATCTCTGTGAGTCCGAGGCCGGGCTGCACCGACAGCCTCCAAAACAATACAGAGAAACCCTGTCTCGTAAATACCAAAAAAAATCTCAGTATTTTATTTGATTAACTGAAGAAGGACAGAACTGATTCTGTGATGTTGTGCACTTAATATTCTTAACTATTTCCAGTGGACTTGTAAATGAGCACACTACTCAGAAGATTTTAGTTTTCCTTTTCCACAGCATGTAATCATCTAAATACAATCCAGGTCACCCAGCTTAGACATTATGTAAGATTACCTCAGCCCAATTTAAATTTATGGCAAAATTGAAGAGGCCTAAGTAATGTCTCAAGATCTACTAAAATTAGAAAAAAGAAAATAAAGAGCATTACTATCCTGATTTCTTTCCAGTGCATCAGAGTTGTCCTGTGAATATTTTTTTCTAGTCACTGTCATTTTCCCAAATGTCATACAGAGCCATGAAAATTGAAATATTTACTTGTTCTCTTAATGCTCCCTTGTCCTTGTCATAGAGGAGTCTCAGAGGAATGCATATTTCATATTTGAGTTTAGATGGTTTGCAGTTTTGGTCACTAGTTTGGGGACCTACACTCTGTTAGGATGACACAGCATCACTGAAAAGGTCAGATAGGATTCTTAATGAACAAGTGTTACCCACACAATATGGTGGTGTATTTTCACAAACTTAAGTATGTAGTAGGTTAATGTCCTGTGAGACCCTCTCTGCACACTTACTATGAATTATTTGCATTCCATAAAAAATAAGTGAACATGAGTGAATAATTCATTCCCATGTCTGCTACATTCTCATTATTTGACTCTCAGGCTAATGTCATCATAGAGAGCGTTGCCTTCTCTAATAACAAGGCACCTTCCCCACACTTCCCACTCAACTCTACTTAATTATGAACAAAACACTGAAAACTTTTATTGAATTACTTATTCACTTTCTTTCTGCTTTCAGTGAGAGTCCATAGGTTTCATGGAGGCATAAATATTTCACCAATATTTTCCCATTATGTAGGAAACAGTGCATCACAGTTGAACAGCAATACTTGTGGAATGAAATGATGAGAGAAGTTAATATGCAAGAGCACAAATGTGTGAAAAACATAGTCATTCATCGAATAAGCTGCCTCATTTTTAGTCATCTTAAAATATATAAATGCATGTATATATACATACATGGGGACAAGGAAAGAAAGAATGGCCTTATGGCCAATGACTGATTCCAGGAAGGAGATGCTTAGGACTCCTTTAAAAAACTGTGACCAACAGAAAAAGAAATATAAAAAATAAGATTATATGCTGGGAAATATCTATTGAACACTTCCCCTAAAAAATATAATGACAAGATAAGTAAAGAATCACATACACTCATTCAGGACAAAATAGCAAAAATTCCAGATATTACACCTACCATAACAACAGTCATACAAGTTCAAGTAGATTAAAGACTTCTAGAATAAGTAGAAACTGTCAGGACAACTAAACATCACTTCCTGGCATCAGGTCTTCTAGAAATGAAAATTAGAGGCAATCATATTTATGAGCTGAGAGAAAGACACTCTTGGAAAAATACCACTCTAACATTTGAGGAAATGGACTTTAATTGAAACAGATGCTATTGTGATAGACACAGTGGTCATTTTATAACAATAAAAATTCCAACCCATGATAAACATATAATGTTTACAAACATGTAAATAGCCAGCAAAGTGTATCTAAAGTACACACAGAAAAAATTCAGAGTAGAAGATGTAAACAAGTATCATTAAAATAATGACATATTTAATTATATCACTTCAACAACAGGTAAAAGAACAACGCAAGTAATAGACAAGTGCACATAAGACACAGATCAAGAGATGCTGAGGTCTTAGGTAGAGAGCTTGAGTGCCACTACCTAGGTCATATAGCTCCATACTCATCAGGGAAAGGAGCCAGGGAGGGAGAGGGGGAGGGGATTTGATTGTGGAGTCTGTATTTCTCCAAATTCTATAAGGTAGCCCAGCAGACTAAAGATGAATGAGCAGCTCCAATGTGAGTGACAAATCTATCAACTGGCATTTTTTTTCTTGCCTGTCTCTGTTCTGTAAAGCCTTTTGGTTGAGTGCCAGTAATCTACCCAAATTATGTACAGCAACATACACACAACAGTATATAACAATTTCACATAAAAATATCTGGATACTAACATTAAAAACCCTACTATCTCTGGTCATTTTATAAGTTTAATAAAGGATATGGCTGGGACTCAAGTTGGCCTAGCAGTGCCTGCATGTCATCCTCTGGTAGAGGGGATGTCTGGGCCCTGGTATAACAGGAGAACCAAACTATAAATTTGCTTCATCATTTACAAGAAATCACAATAGGGCTGTGACTGAAAATTCAGCATTAACAATAAATGCTAAAGGCAGAACACAGTAGAGAAGGCATGCAAGAAACTTGAGGTCAGACCCAGTGTGCACACGAAGCCTCTTTCCTACTGTGTTCTGGAAACCATGTGAACTCCCAGCCTCCTCAGCCACCTGGAGAGCGTCAGCACTTGAAAGAGGAAAAATTATGAAATACTGCACAATTACCAGGAAAATTAAATAATCTAACACAGCTGCAAGGGTTCTCAAACTGAAAGATGGGAAATTCCACACTCAACAATTATTGAACAATAATCGTTACATTGCAAATATCCTGGGTCCTACTTTTGCTGTCATTAATAAAACAATTTGCCACAAAATTTCTTAACTCAGATAGAACCTTCATAATATATATATATATGTACACATATTTAAATTAGTTAAAATGCTATTTATTATCCTGTAATACTACAAGATACCACAGGCTAACAAGGAAAAACACTGGTGCCAGGAATGGAGTAACAGTTTTGTATTTGCTGACCTGTGATGTGACCAAGACCATCAAACATTATAGGTGATTGCCGTCGATCTAGGTTATATGCCATAACTTTACAGTAAAACCCCATAGATGAACATACCATTTACTCAAAACATAAAACATGGATATATTCAGGTGGAACTCACCTAAAAGTGTCATCTCTTCTGTCTAGGTTACATAACTCTGGAAATTGCTACGCATATTACCAAAAGGGGAAAATGGTAATTCTCAATCATATCCAACTGTGAGAAAGCTAAAGTAATGATCTACCTGGCTAGACTTGCCTACTGTTGCAATGGTATTATGGCCCAACCTACATTAAGTACATACATGGATCCAAGAACCTATGCCTAATATTGTAATGAGACCTGAGAGGAATTAACTGCTATTACTCTGCTAAGCGAACATAGTATTAAACAAAGTCTTAATTAACTTATCATTATATCCATATATTGTATATCTCTCAACACTCATCAGACAAGCATCTGTTTGCAGTAAATGGTGATTCGTACAGAGACCCACAGCTGTTAAAGGTCCAGGAAATAAGACTGAAGAATTCTCAGACTTCAATGGAAATAAATAACACTCCATCCTCCCAAGAAACATTATGGAAGAGAGTCAGAAAGACTATAAGAGCCAGAGGTGACAGATGACTACAAGGAAGCAATGTTTTCGCGAAACAGTAGAGGAGCTATAGTGACTGTAACAACACGCATAAGAACTGGAAAATATCAAGCCAGACAAAATTCCTGCAAAGAAAGGGGAGTTGGGTATGAAGACCCACCTTTAGGCAAGAAGATACTGGAAAATGATAGCTGTTTGAAGAATGAGTCAGTTTTCTTTAAGGGTTGTGGTTCCCATTACTTCAACCATAATCCAGTGGAAGGCCACAGGTTCAATAATATGTGGGCAGCACAAATTGGAATCTATATGTTTGAGAAATAAAGCAGAACATAAAACTGAATGGCTAAGGAACTGGGGAAACCTGCCTCTGGGGAGAGTTGGATGAGGAGAATGAATGTGGACAAAAACATGGAGTGAAATTCTCAAAGAATTAAAAATAAAGACTTTTTAAACATAGTTTCTTATTTTAAAAATTAGATCTTTGAATCTAAATATAATAACTATAATCAAATAAGTGAGGTAAGCCACTTATAGAACAAAAATGTTTAGTTAGCATACAGACGCAGAAGTTCATGATTAAAATTAGGTGGTTTAGTTTGCTGCCTCTGGTGAAGGCATTGGATGACAGTATCTAGCAGCCTACGGTGAAACTGTTTACATCATGAACGTTGGAGCAGAGACTAAGAAGGCAGTGCTGCAATCTATTCCAAGAGTTGATACCCTCCCATCAGACCCCATTGCGTACAGATTCTATTACCTCTTAAGAGTTGTAGACTGGGAACTAAGACTTTAACTCGTTGGCTTTTGGGAGACACAAATTGAAACATAACTAATACTAGCCATGTCAGCATCAGGCTCCTGAAAACACCTGAACTCCATGTCTATTTTTCAAACACAAAATTCTTGTAGTATGACTTTTTTCTCCAAATTGTAATATTCCCACTGGAAGAATTAAGGTGTCTGCTGAGACCCAAGAAGTACCTGAGAGGGAGGAAACTTGGAAGATTCTCAAAGGTTCATCCCAGCTTCACAGAAGCGCTAAGCAACTGCTTCAGAGGAGACTGAGTAGTCCAGATGCTGAGAGGCAATGTCAAGGATCTGTTAAACTGTCTGTTAGGCATGCAGAGGGTTCCAGAAAATCAGCCACGGTGAGTCTTCAATGTGTTGGGGTGGACTTTCATTATGTAGATGCATTCATATCAGCCCTGCTCCTGTTAGCAACCTCTCACGCATACTCCTACAAGTAACACCCATTAAAACCCATTAATTTACCCATGTTGGGCTACCTGCAATGGTTACTTTGTGTACTGAGTTCCATTTTTTTTTTCAGGAGAATATAAGTCTGTATATTATCTCTCCAGCGAAAGTCATTCACACAGCTGTCATCACAATTCCTGGTGTTCAAGTAAATGTCTTCAGTCTACCAAGAACATTTTAAAATGTGTTTTATGTTAGCAAATGTATTAAAGGGCCTTATTCCAAAATGCAGATACAATGTAGCATTCTCACAGACATATTTTTAATCTGTTTTTCTTTCTTTTACATTTTGACTGGTAAAAATCAGGTTTTACCCCACACATAACCATAATCAGTAGTTAAAAAAAGATTGCATTTTAAAATCTGCTTTTTCTTGCAGCAATTTTACACTCAGACTTGAAGGGGGAAAGAGCTTGGCAAGTTAAAGGCATTAACACATTTTCACATAACTTCTCAAGTGTAATTTTATTTTCCCCTGGCTCAGCATTTCGTTTTTATAGCTTCTATTAATCAAAACCAAACAGGCTTTAAGTCCACAGTTCCTACTTCAGATTTTCTAACAATGGCTGTCCACCTCCCTCACTGTCCCTGGTGTTATCTCCCCTGGCCTCCAGTGTTTTAACTTAGCTTTCTTTCTGCCTTACTCCTTCAGTCACCACAAAGCCACCATCCTTTGAGAACAGTGGCCATCAATTTCTAAAGCCACGGAACAAGGACAAATGTTCAGACTTCCCCAGGGAATTCACTGAATAATAAAGACCATTTAAGAAACGCCAGGAAAAATTGATTACTTCACGAGTCAGAACAGCCAGCTCAGATCAGAGAACAACAGCATTCAGTCACGGAACTGGTGAAAGAAAAAGAGAAAAAGACAACTACATTCATCTTACTGTGCATTGTTTTTGGATATCAGAATTCCCAGAAGCTAAGAGACATATAATTTAAGAAGAGACTAGCTAAGGAAAATAACCCCTTTCCCAATTCAAATAAATATTTTTGGACACTACTGATATATAAAGAGATAAGCAAAAAGATTTAAAATCAACTCAGGAACGTGAGGACTTAGTTCCTGTCTCCTTTGATAAGTCATTTGGTTAAAAATTATCACACTGAAGTGAGAAGCTGAGAATACAAGGATGTTGTCTCTTTTTTTTTTTTTTTTTTTTTTTGGTTTTACGAGACAGGATTTCTCTGTATTGTTTTGGAGGCTGTCGGCCCAGCCCGGCCTTGAACTCACAGACATCCCCTGCCTCTGCCTCTCGAGTGCTGGGATTAAAGGCGTGTGCCACCACCGCCCAGCTTGATGTTGTCTCTTTTATCATTAAAAGTATCTGGGATTTAAACATGTCATACATCTTTCTCATTTTTGCAGTTGTTGTAAATGTGTGGTCTTATAAATCACCCTTTCATTTCTCCTACAATGATACTAAGATGTAAGCACTAGAAAGAAAAGTCAGATGCTGTTCTCTGTTTCTGGAAAGCATTGAAAGTTCAGTACTAATCAGTATGCGGCCCTCAAACCTCCTGGATCATTTTTCTGTAAGACTCAAAATAATACATTTTTAAAGCTTTACATAGCACAGCAAACCTGTAATCTCAGCACGATGAAGGTGGGGGGGATGGGAATCAGAAAATCAAGCCCAGCCTTGGCTATGGAGGATGTTCAAGGCCAGCCTGATTTGCATGAGAACCTTTCTCAGGAAAATATAAAACAAAAATGTAAAAATACTTTCTTGCTTTGTTCTAATATTGATATATCACATTCAGATATGAAAACATTACCTCCTTTGCAAGATTTTCATGTATCCATTAGAATACTCACAAACTACCATGCTTGATGAATATCATTGTCTGTACTAAAGACTGCCTTTCATAAAACTAGTACACCAAATCTACCAGGATACTTTAAGTTTCATAAATTTCCAAATATAATTTCTTCTTTTTAATTTCATGGGAAATACTAAAAAGCACAGAATCAAAGGCAAAAAAAGGTTAACTTTATGTCAATCATGAAACCTGCTGACAGGTGTCACCATATGTTACAACAAGGTCTCCTAGTCATGGGTCACTGCTTTGAAAGGAACTAAAGGACACTTGAGGGACTGCGACATAGTGAAAATCCCCCCTGGGATCTCACACAGTATCTCCTGACAGGTACAGAATTAACTCATGGCTTTCTGGTATTTTTCAAACATGACAGCTCCCAGATCCACTGCCACTTAACACAGTGGGGGTTGGGGAGAAGAATCAGTGTGTATTAATAAGTAAATTCAATGCAGTGTTACACAAGTCCTAAGGAGAGTTATATTCAAAGAGAATATCTAAGTGGTTAAAATCAGAGAAGGCAATAGTGGAATACATAGACATTAAGAAAAGTTATTCTTTTGGGGGGTTGGAGGGAGAGTCTGTAATTTTTAATTTGCTTCCTAGACTAATTTCCATAGAGCCAATGAATAAAGTATTCAGCATATGTTGAAGAGTGCTTTATGTCTTCTTGAAATGGAACAAGACTTTCAGTCAGCAGCTGAGGAAGCAGTTAGGGTTTCCCCACTTCCTCCCAACACACACACACATATCCACACAGTCCATGCCTCTGCCTAGCACAATGAGACATACATGCTCAAGCTCTGAGCTTTATATTTACATTGCATTCGTGGATGTGCACTCGGTAAGCCATGATCAACACAGTGCTCATTGCACAAAGGAACACGTTTGCAGAGGAAAGCAAAGCATTTATGCAATGTGGTTAAGAAATATCACACAAGCTTTCAACAGTATTTCTGAGTTAATTTTCTATGACCTTAAGTCCAATGTCATGCCAAAGATGACAGTAGAAACTGGGAATATAAGGGAAAAGTTGAATAAGTGAACTTGTAGGAAAAAACTTAAATAAAACAAGTATTTCTAACCTTTGGATTCCTAACATAAATAAGTTCTAAATGGAACCTTGGAAGCATATTTCCCAGCAAAAGGAAAGCGAAATAAGTTATAAATACAATATGATAATTTGAAAATAAAAGCAATTTAGGGTTGTGAAAAAATTAAAGAAACAAAAGGAAACAAATGCAATATAGCTGAGAATAAGAAAATACAGCAGACACGATGTTGTTTCCTTCTGCCAAGAACAAAATTAGATACTCCAAATCATATGTCTACAGACAGACACAACAGAGTAGACTGTAGCTTCATCATGGGAGACCTACTTTCTCACTCCTGAGTATTTTCTTCTATAAATTATAAATTTCTACACTTATATTGTGCATCAGAATTCATTATGATCCCAAGATCTATTTACTTACAGGAACACTATTCAATTGTATGACACGGACTAACTTAACAGTCTATCTAATAATATTCTTCAGTTCTTAAGAATGTGTACAAATATTAAGATCCATCTGCATTTAGTGTGGTATAAACTGTCTTATATTTAATAATACAGAATTTGTGGCATATATCATGAGTCTGATATTATTACAAGAGCTTCATAAGTAATTAATTTAATTTACTAATAATTATGCAATAAGAAAGGTACTATGAATATGTGAAATTTTCATAAGTGATCACATGACCTCAGAGAAGCTGTTTCAACCAGCTGATAAAGGAATATTCTGAAAGTGTATCCTGACTATCTGGCCCACAGGCCATACTCTTAACCTCAATGCCCAAATGCCATAATGTTATTTTCCAGATTAGCACACAAAAAACCTTCATCATGAGGTTTATTTTGGATTTCAATTCTTGCTGTTGTCACTTAAGAAAGCATAGTGAACGAAGACATGGAGCTACAGGGATGATGCTCATTTTGTAACCCTTCCTGATCCTTTGCTCCTCACACAGTCTGTGAAGGAGAGATTTTACAACTTGATAATTTAACTACCACAGTCATTAGTAGCCAAGATGGAGTCAAGAACTTTTGATATATACATATATATAATTTAATATTTTACATTTATATATGCATGCATGTATGCGTGTACCTGTGGGTACTTTAAAGTCGTGGTACATGGACGGAAGTCAGTATAATCGTAGATTATCTCTAATATGT